ATTTTGCTGAGGTGTTTTGTTATAGCTGCTATGTCGGTGCTGTTATTAGCCACTATTGTGGTGCTGTTATAGCCGCTATGTCGGTGCTGTTATTAGCCACTATTGTGGTGCTGTTATAGCCACTATGTCGGTGCTGTTATTAGCCACTATTGTGGTGCTGTTATAGACGCTATGTTGGTGCTGTTATTAGCCACTATTGTGGTGTTGTTATAGCCGCTATGTCGGTGCTGTTATTGCTGAATGCTGTGATATTTTATGTTGATATTGTTAAGCTGGTTGATGTGCTGATAGCTGTAGTTGTTTATCCTTCATATTTCACATATGTATGCTGATTCTTTTCACTAGCTTACCCTTTGTTGTTCCATGTGGTTTGGACTGCGATGATCATACTATGTATGGGAGCAGGGCAGGGTTAGGTTGGTGTTTTGCTGAAGAAGGTCTGCAGCGGGCAGATGAAGCTTTATTCTTTTGATGTATTTAGCTACTTAGTTACCATTTACTGGATGTATTTTGTACACTCTGATTCTAGATGGATTTGGACCTTGTATATATATATATATTCTAGATCCTATATGTATATACTTGTTGGTTTTTGTGTAGTATTTTGGTGTGTTGTGCTGTGTGTATTGACCAGGCAGGTCGTTACAGTAAGCGTAAATCATGATCAAATGCGGAATTTACTAGAAAATGAAATATAGGTTTTTCCAAAACAAAATAACAATAATGAAATCCTAAACTAAGTCTAGCTATGCCCCAATATCACATATCCTATTAGAACACGTTCAACTGAAGCATAAGTCTCATCACCAACATCCTATATATCTTTTGTTTATAAACTTTTTGTAAGGACATTTGGGTTTCCTATTTATAATTTGTTATTGGACTTAAGAAAAATGTTACCCTTTATCCTTGTTGAAAGTTATTTAAGTTTATATAATGTTGCCACTCTTTTAATTAAATAAAAATAAAATTAGAAAAATTGTTTTAGGTAAATGGTATCATATTTAATGGAATCAGGGTAAGTTAATTCATTTAGCCAATCTATCATGTATCTGTTGTATATCTATGTATACTCTGTGATTTGCTTGAAGTGATTGTATTGTTTGTTTGAATCGAGTTGTGTTTAATTGTGTTTTACTTTTCTATGAAGCATATTGAGTTGATGATCTCGTGGCAAGTGTATTAGAATCAACAAATTTATGGTTGTTTCAAATTAATTTAGATAAGCAAGAAATAAATATATACATTATATTAACACATGTTCATTATTTTATTTATTAAACTAAAAGTTCAAATTGATAAAATTTAAAGGAATAAACAAACAAATGTTCAGTAGTAAAGAAATTCATATTCAAGAAGTTTGGGATTGAATTTCATTTCTTGTATCTCTTAGTGATCTTGAAACTAATATGTTAACCACTCTTTCACTATTTTGATTAAGATTAAATTAACTCATTATCAATTTCTTGATAAAATGATTCTAAAATTTCTTCATTAAACATCAATTTCTTTGCCACCACAAATTAGCTTAAGCTCTTTAGGAATGACTTAAAATCTTTTTTAATGTTTCATCATAAAGAAAGCAAATTTTCTTGAGCCCTTTTGAAATGACTTAAATGAATTTGTTCCAAAGAGCTTTTTCCTACTAGTGCTAAATGGTGTAAATCCTTTAGAAATGGCTTAAGCCCCTTTTTTGGCAAAATACATTCTTTAATTTTCCTAAAATGGCTTTAGCCCTTCTTTGGCAAAATGTGAATTTCATTTTTTGAAATGGATTATGTAACACCCAAATCTTTATTATTATTATTTTTGTTAATTGAGAAATATCTCACTCAGGTTTAGGTGCAGAAAAAAAATGTTAGACAACACACTCAACAAACATAATACAAGTCACAAGCACAAATCACATATAAACAATACACATACAAAATTAGTATCACATGCACATTCATTTATCATGCAATGATGTCATGGACTCGACTCATAAATGCAGTAAGCTAGTGAAAAGAATCAGCATACATATGTGAAATATGAAGGATAAACAACTACAGCTATCAGCACATCAACCAGCTTAACAATATCAACATAAAATATCACAGCATTCAGCAATAACAGCACCGACATAGCGGCTATAACAACACCACAATAGTGGCTAATAACAGCACCAACATAGCGTCTATAACAGCACCACAATAGTGGCTAATAACAGCACCGACATAGTGGCTATAACAGCACCACAATAGTGGCTAATAATAGCACCGACATAGCGGCTATAGTACCACAATAGTGGCTAATAACAGCACCGACATAGCGG